GGATACAGAAAGTTGTGGGAAGTTTGTGGAAAGGGAGCCCTAAAAAAGGAGTTCTGTGCATGATCGGGCTCAGAGCAGACTAAGCTTAAATAAGTAAATGGGTTTTGTTATTAAAAGTAGGCCAGTGCAGGACTAGATTTAGTTTCTCTCTGTTAAGAGAACAAGTTTACTTAGAATGCATCTGACAACAAATTTTGGGAAATTTTTTGATATTTTTGACAAACTTCCTATCAAATTCTAATTAAAGTTCTTTTGACTTCAGCTAACTTTGGGATGCTTCAGAGGGCCCCTGAGACATCTCAGAGAAACATAGTGAGCTAACTAGGATTAGTTGCTGTGTTGAATTGTACGGGAAGCCTTGTCGAATGAACGATAAACCTCCTTGGATTATATGGTGTGGATGGATGTTGTTAGAGTGGATGTTCTAGAAATTATATGGAGTTTCTGAAATTTAGGTATGTCCTAGTATAATGCTATCAGTTATAATTCTGGTTGTTATCTTGAGATGTTGTATGTCACAGCAACCTGGTTAAGCTACTTTGTCAAAAACATTGTAATTGGGTTTTTACCTTGCCTTTTTGCATTTTCAGTCATAGACAGTTAAGCTGATGCTTTGCAGAACTGCCTCATTTTCAAGAGAATTCATAAAGGGGATTTTTTGACAACTACAGGTTTCTTGTCAACTATACTGCCGAGCTGGGTGGGATATTTAAGAAGTCTAATGAAAACTCTGATTTTTATAAAACTTTAGTAAAGGAGACTGATTGCATAGGATTGAGTAAACTGATGAGTATGGTTATAATTTTTTGGTTGTCTGAAGTATCACTGGCTCTTAAACTGTTTTCTAATTAAACTGTTTACCAGATGTTTGTCTCCCTATCAATATTGCCCCCAATGTTTAGGATAGAAAGAGAATTCTCTAATGGAGTTGTCACAGAATAGAACTACTCATGATGTATAACAATGCTTGCTTTAAGTCTGTTGCCAAAAGCACATGTACGATGCTTGTGTAACAACTGGGTATAAGTGATAAAATGTATAGCCTGTAAAGTGGATCCCCACTAGCATATCCCTGAGCCTGTTCACGATACCTGATTTATTTTCTCCCAATGTGGATAACTAGGCAAACATAAAGGAGGCCTAGCACCCAGGGACATGATCTAAACCTGGGGCAGGAGCTACCACCCCAGAGTCAAGGGACAGATACTTTGATCATGAATGCTTTCTATTAAAATATTTGTAATCAAAAAGAGAAATGATGAAATCTGCACATATTGAGGTATGGGGAAGTCATTCTGGCCTGGGCATGGTTTGACGTAAACTTTCTTTGACCAAAGTGGCCTGTTTTGTGACCTTTTGGACATGCATGTACATCTGCTTTGGCCTTGAGGAGAGGAATGCATTTGAAAGTCAAAATGGAGTGGCTGTGGTTCAGACATCCAAGGTAAAATGAGGTAGCCGTTGTTGACATAATTCCAGACACATTCTTGTGTTGTTGAGAACTCTTAATTTTTCTGAACTGTGGCATATTGGGATGCCACCAGTCATTCTCAAAGCAGTGTCTGCTGGCAGATGGCAGCTGCAACCTTGTGACCTCAAGGTCTCCTGTAACTATTAAATTTTCAGACAATAAGCTTTAGATCAGATATTAGCAGGAAAAAAAGGAGACATGTAGTGACTAATAGCTTTTGTTATGTATGTTTTAATACCACATCAAAAGTTAAAACCTTACACTGGAATTTGACACAACATTGTAAAATGATTATAAATCAATAAGAAATGGTAAAAAAAAAAAGTTAAAACCTGCTCAGAAAAAAGTAGTCAACTGGCTACCTGGCTACAATTCTCCCCTAAAGTGAAAGGTCTGGACTGGTTTTCAAGCTTATTCTCCTAAATTCCTCAGGGAATAAGATTTTAATCAAATAAGACTTAGATCCAGGACTTGGACCTCAAGAATATTTCCAACTCGATGTCCATTCACCAGATCAAGGTAGGACTATGCCTTGTTTCAGCAGGAAATAGCCAGAGCAGTCATCACCCTATTCTCTAAAAGATTTGGGGAGGAATGAAATGAGATTGGAGATGAAACCGAATTCCACTGCCGAGGTTATGAGTAATCTCTCTGTTCAAAACATTATTCCTTCTTGACCAACACCTATTCTTAAGATTGAGGAGTATCAATGAAAAGGGGGGACTTTTAACCAAGCAGGATCCTAAGGGGTCTTCCTGGGTCAGACCCATCCTCCATATCCTCTGCTGTAGCTCTTCTCTGAAGTACCCAGATGATAGAATCTCATACATATTTCCTGAGTTTTTCAGATGCTAAAAACCACCACCAAATGGAAGAAATTAACTACTTGATGATCATGACTACGTAGCCCGCAGACTTTCTGGTGCCGTAGGATTGATCACCATCAACCAATCTGAATTGTGCATAGCTGATCACAGACCTTGGGCCACCCCTCCCTTAGCTGGCCATTAAAAATGCTCAGCTGAAACCATTCGAGGAGTTCTAGGTATAGGCCACCCAGTCTTCTTGCTCCTCTGCCCAGCAATAAACATTTCTCTGCTCCAAACTCCAGCATTTTGCTATTTCTGGCCTCACTGTGTGTTGGGCAAATGAACTTGTGTTTGGTAACAAAAGGTGATGTCCTCAGCTGGGATAGACAATGAAAGAGGACCAAGTTCAAGTGCAGTGGTTAAAAGGAATGCCTGTGAATGCCTCGTTGAGGGTGTAGAAGCTTAGCTGGAAACTGAGGTCTAGAGCTGAGGTGAACCAGCGATGCTGAGTACAAGAAACCACTGCAGACGTGGTGTCTACATCAGGGCTCGGAGGCCTCTCAGAGTCAGGGTGAACATATGACCAAATCCCGGTTTACACCCACTGTCTGGTTTATGCCTGTTGTCTCGCTTAGCACCTCCTTCCCCCTCAAAAGTGACCTTTGGATGACAAATTAGATGGTTACCCTACTCAAGAGAAAGCCTGCAGGGGAGGGAAAGGAAAGTGATTCCAAGACAAGCCCCTTTTCACTTGATTCTTTCTGCTGCCTCATTCTGCTACCTCCGACCCTCCATCCCCTCCTTATACTCCTGTATTTTCCCCTTTTTCTATTTTTTTCTTCCCTTCTGCCATGTTTCCCTTTCCCATTTCCCTAGGGAAGAGCCCACCCCACCTCCACAGACCCAAGAGAGCTTCTGTCCTCCTGGGTTACTCCAAGTCACACCGCTGTGGTGGCTGAAGAAAGCAAGCCTGAGGGCCAGCTACTTGGCCTTCCCGTGTGTACACGGGGTGAGGTGGGTCCTGTGCTAGGCTAGGCCAGGTTATGGAGGTAGCACTGGCTGGGGGGCAGGAGGCCTGCCTTCCAGGCACAGCTCTGCTTTTTTCCTGCTGTGTGACCTTGGAGCAAAGTATTTCTGCTCTCGGAGTCTCCATTTATTTTCCTCTGCAAAAGATGGAAATTGAATGCGTGATCTGAGCTGTCTCTTCCTGCTGAGAAGTCATGTTCATCTTATCTGGTGCCATTTCCCTTGGGGTGCCTGTCATGTGAGGTGGGATGTCAGTCACCTCAGAAGAGAGGGTTTGTGGGTACATAGTAGGGGGGGGGGTTTCTCCCTGGAGCACAGAGCCTGAGGACGAGAGCCCATGAAGCCCTTTCAGTACCAGTCTGGGGGCCAAGGCCCACTTCCTGGCTGCCACATCGCCATATGCCACAGACCTGCTGCAGCCTTTGATCACCTGTAGAAGGTGCCCCAGGTACATCAATGGTGAACCCAGCCAAAGCCACCACAGCTTCTGGGAAGGGCTTCCCAAGAGGAGATCCGGAGCAGGAACCAAGAGGGTTTGGAGGCAGAAGGTGAGGAGAGCAGGAAAGGAACAGCAAATTAAAAGAAGGGAATGAGAGAAGGGAGAAGCGGGCTGAGGGACAAGAGTCCACCACCAGTTGGGTGCCTGAACTTCAATTTCCTCATTTACAAGATGGGAGCAATCACATGCCGTGTGCTGTGTCTGTGCTGGGGCTACCAGCCTCATAGAACTCGTGACAATTGGTAAGAGGGTGCTGAGAACTTGGAAAGTGTTCTATGGTGGGGGCGGAGGGGGCCCTATTAGTCTCCTGCAACAACCAGGGAAGGTAGTGGGATTTGTAGTCAAATCGGTCTTCAAGTTGAGCTGCTACTTGATGTCTCTGAGCCTGTTTGCTCCTCAGTAAAATGGGGTTAATGAGGCATACTTGCCAGGATGTGTGAAGTTGGAGGTGATAAATATCCTAGAGGCAGCAACTGCTGCTGGGATCGCAGTGGCTGAATTCCGGGCAGAAGTTTTGGGAAGCGGAGCCGCACCAGGTCCCTGACCGAGGCCGGGGCACCAGCGAGCAAGGAGAGGGGCGCAGCTCCCGGCGGGGGAAGGGGAATCCGAGAACATCCCTTGGTAAGGAAGGGGAGGCCGATCCCCGGCCCCGACCCTGCAGATGCTGTTCACGTCTTCGTCCAGGCGCCCGCCTGGGGTCCCCGGTC